ATTTGAGGAGGGTGAATTGGCGTCTCTTATAGTTACTAACAGCAAGCATGGGGAAAATAAAAAGACGCCACTGGGATTCGAACCCACCGCCTGACGATCGGGTAACAGCGAGCTTAACCAGTCGGCCACGTCAGAACGACTGCTTCTTGCTGTTCACAGTGTTAGTTGAGAATACGGTGCAAAATTTTGAAAATTCTGTTTGAAACCATTAGTCTTTAATCATTGATATTTTCCAATTATTTTCCTCTTCGTCAAATTTAACACGGTGTTTGACCCTATTCAAGGCTTTGTTTACCTCCATGCCTTTATCATGCCTTTATCTTCGAAATCGTCTACAATGTATTGATGAGTTTTATTATTTTTCAGGTGTAGGTAACTTGACAAAAACTCCTTGTAGTTTTGAAAACGTCTTGCTTTGCTACCCAAAGGGTCCTGTTTGCCTTTTGCCTGTCTTGATCTTCATCCATACCCCCTTTGATATACTTATCATGATTCCACATTTCCTTATTTAATTATCTGCCCCTCCCAACCAATCTTGGTAGGTGACATTGTCTTCCAATTCTGTACTATCTTCATCCGATTGGAGGTCATGTCGTCTTCTTCCTCCTTTACTGATTCCAAATCATCGTCAACTTCATTCATGTCTGATTCCTCTTCAGCGTTGATATTTTCTCTGTGACTCCATAGAATAGATTTACGTTCAAAGCTTGTGTCACACTGATGACAAGCATAAGGTCTGACCGTAGAAATAGTAATCATGGTGAATCTTTAATTTTTACCTCCAAATGAGAAGGATTGAGACCTTACAGAGAAATGAAAGGAGCGAAAGGAGCAAAAAAGAGCATCATTGCGGTATATATCTCTATACGCGGCCACTCAATGGATGTAAACAACCAACAAAACATACAGGACCTGTCATTATTTAAGAAAAGACCAAACAATATTTTCAAATAAAACATCAAACAGTTGAGTTGGAAAAGAAAGACTTACAAGTGAAGGACATGAAAAGTCATTCAAGAAATTAAAGGATTCTTAATTGGGGTTATGTTCCGGATGACAAAATTTGAGAATTCCTTTGTCAATTCCTTTGTCAAAGTTCAAGTTAATAGCCCGTAAGTTGACTTGCGACTGCATGACGTACGCGCGGCTGATTTGTGATGACGTAATGGTGGCTCGATGACAACTCTGTTTTAATTCAGCATTCAACAAGAATTAAGATGCCTCCGGTACGTTGGGAACTACGCCATTTATTGGGCTTAATGTGCACGATCAAAGAGTGTAGGCCTACACGGCGACTTATGTTCGCATCACTGGGAAATTTTGATGAGAAGGGGACATGATTAATCTTTCATTGGATTTGGCACACTCTCGAAATACATTTGAATACATTGAATGCCCCTAGTGCATGAATAGAACAAGCGGAAGATTCGAGTAAGGAACACACACAAGAGGTGGTAGCAAGTACAAGTCAAGTCACAAAAATAGCGACTCGAGTCCATGTCAAGTGACTTAAGTCTACACGTTTGACATAGGGCCTACATGTACAAAGCTGGTTTGTGGATACTTGAGCAGACTACGACGAGCACAAAACAGACAAATCTAATTGGAAAAACAATAATTCATGCACTTTATTTTATTCAGAGCAAAGAAAGGATTAACGATGTACCTATTGCATTAAATCAAAAGGAACTGCCTATCTTTGTCAGTAGTTTGGCATGAATAACCATGAGGCACCTCAATGGATAACAAATGTAATTACCAGTTCAAAGATCATCCCAATCCTCTTTGAAAGCGCCTCTGCGCCAGACAGACACACCCTTCCAAGGTTGTCGAGTAGTCCGCCCTTTCAAAACGCTCTCTACGGTATCAAAACATGTTGTATATTCAAGAATTTCGGAAACATGCATGTATCTGTAAGGAGAAAATCTGGTGCCCGGGGCCGCTTTCAATTAAGATTCGATTTGGTATGCAGTGTCTGGTAAAGCCATTGTTCCAGGTGTGACTTATTCGAAAACTTTACTTTTGTCAAAGTTCAAAATATAACGTTAAAAGCTTATGCATGCAATATGCAGTTGCAGTATCACATTCTATGCATGTTTATAAAAATTGAAAGATGGCGATGTTTTTGATGCAAAGTCGATATAAATTCACAGCAATCAAGTTATAAAACAAGATACAGTAACACAAGGTGAAAATAAGCGATATAAATCATTTTCTGCATGATGAGCAATCGAATAAGGGCACAAGAAGGAAGCTAGCATCCAGGGTTACAACTACAAAGGGATTAAAGTAACTTTTACTTTCTTTCGTTTTGATTGGTTTGGGTTGGACGGACAACGATATTTAAATACAAACATTTAACAAAATTAGTAGAAATAATAGTGACTTTCTCAGCGTGTTTATGACAAACATCGATTTTTTCCCCTGTTCTAATTTCTGTTGAAGTTTTGATGGGTTAAGCATGGTGTTTGGAGATTTCCCTCCAAAGATAACCACCCTTGAAAAGGACATGAAGTGCATTGCCATTTGGAAATTCTTGCATGCCCTTCTGCAAGGTAACATAGAGCCGTTTGGAAGGCACCATTCAAATAGAGGGATCCTAATATGACTCGTTTAGCATCGATCTGCGCACTTCCCCGTTCGAAAACGAGGCTGTAGGTGTCAGCTTCAAACGCACATCTTCAACGAAGCGGCGAGATATACCGTGACACTGTGCATAATGCCTATACGGCTCATGACTCTTAGTCGTATTACGACCAGACAATTGAAAGTAAGGAGTCAAGACACAAAAGACATAAAGATATGTTCAGTTCAGACTTTTCAGGCTGCAAACTTTGGTGGAAGAGTCTTTCGGGATGACTCGACATGCGGCTTGAGAGTTGATGTGGTCCAAGGCCAATTATTGGTCGTGTTTCTGCAGGTACACATGCAATATACATGCAGATACACAACCATCGCAGTACTGTATCGAGTTCAGCACAGAGAGCCTCGGTTTCGATGCGGATATGCGCAGACGGCGCTAACGTAAAATCCCTCTGTAGTCCATTATTCTTGCAAACGCAAGCTGGTTGTCTTGAAAAATTACATTAAAAAGTTCTTGATCTGCACTTGCAGTCAGTTAGTGGTGGTTTTTGGCAGCTTCCACTGGCTCATTTGGTGAGAATGTTATCAGTTAAAACTTTTTGGAGCGCTAAAATACATTTTTTTTTTGCTGAGAACCTTTCCATCTGATTGATTTTAAGCTTTTCTATCATTCAACAAAACGAAGGCAATTATGCCATACAAACACAAGGGCCTTTCTCGCATGTAACATGGAAAGTGCCGGCTAATGAAATAATTATGCCGATCTAGTAGACAAGCGGAAGCGTCTGTACATTGCCCAGAATAAACAGAAATCGTTCAAACAACGTCCTTTGCGTTCCAGCGTGATACTCCTACAACGTTGGGTGAAACTAAAAACAAACTCTTCTAATTAGCTGTCACTAATCACCACGACAAACAACCCATGCATCCGCAGCACGAACCCGTGCCGGTTTCTTCCGGGAGTAGGACGGGCAGTCGGCCAGTCGTTCCTCCGAGCCGTCGCACGCCAAGCCGTCCATGTGGACTGGACCGTCTCCCTGGTGAGCACCTGACATGGCCTGACTCGCGCCGGAGAACCCGAGCTGACGACAGACGACCCGGGCGTCATCGATGTCCCAGTCGTTATCGCCGAGAGTACCCCAAATGCCACCGAGGTAGATCTCTACGTGGCCTCTCAAACGATCGGATCCCCCAACCAACCGGAGAGAATCTGTTCAAATTGATGACAGACTATTTTTTATGAAAAGTAATAAATGAAATGACATAAAAAGAAACATCACAAACGATCGAGTTAGGACAACTTTGAAATAAACCAGTAACGGTATTTGTAAGAAAGAGTAAGTATGACCACACAACGAATCTGGTAATCACTATATGAGGTAATACACGTATTTTAATTGTGATTTTATAAGAATAATAAAAATGTTGAAGGCTACAATGAGAAAGCAGCAAAAATTTCTGTATAATGTATAGTTTTCGTCTTGTCATGATAAATATTTCACCAAACAATAAAATGACATCCTATTTCTTCTTATTTTAGTTAAACAAAAAATGCCAGTAGAAGTTAGTTTTTTCTTACAGAGTTTTGGTCGGCAAACCACTCCTGCTACTTGTAAGCTTGCACAGGGATGATTGCTGGTGCTGACAAACGGGCAGTCAGCAAGCCGAGTCTCTGTGCCTTTACACTTGACTCGACTCAGCACGATCGGCCGATCACTTTCCCCGTAGAAGGATCCCTTCTTGATTTCCACTGCCTTCAAGAAGCTTCCTAGCTGACGGCAGACGACGTTGGCATCTCGCATATCCCAGCGCACGTCGCACACTGTTCCCCAGGTACCGTCGTGGTTGATTTCCACGTGCCCGCTCAGCTCGTCCACACCATCCACCAAACGAACACGCGAATCTTCAATCAGCTTCAAGTCGTACTTGCCTTCTGCTCCCATTCGGTAAAAGTGTCTTTCGCCTGCGTCCCATAGTACAGCGATCCAACCGTCAGTCTCTAATTCATCGACGATAGTACCTTTACCAGGCGGGAAGCCATCCTTTGAAAGAAAGATGTAATTTGACTACGCAGCAAGTGGCAGGCAATAAAATTAAATACCAGTATTCTGGGCTAGTATTTGAAAAGAAAAGGAATTAGGCTGATGCTGTTTATTTTAACTCAATAAAACTGTGTTGGGGTGGAGTTTTTTTAATACATTTTCATTCATCTTATCTTATTGACCTCAAGTTTTCATCGGTCTAAAGTTAAATTCCCCCGTCTATTCCCAATTCCAGCTAGGGTAACATGAGCTCCACACGTATTATTCATTTCTTTCTCTTTATTCTTGTCTGTTCAATTTTGCCACCTCCTTACAACGCTTTAGTTTTCAGCGAATGCTTTATTAGAAGTGAATAGTAAAATTTTAAATAATCACACTTTTGAGCTATAAGGTTTCTTTAATATTCAAAAGCATGGGTTTTGCTGGAAAGTACGGGTGTTTTCCAAGCATTGTGCTCAAAGGGACTTCACTACCTTCCTACCTGATCTCCCCACTTCCAGTCCGGTCCACGCACCACCCTTGTACCTATCTGAAACAGTGGGACACCATTCGGTTCACTGAGCGGTGTAGATTCCCCGCTTTCAAGTTGATCTGTGCAGCAACCTTGAAAAAAAGATAGACAAATACGAAATCTTTGCATTCTGATGTCTCTAATACCTCTGTCTACAGTTATATGAAGAATTGCTAGACGGTTTTCGTTTGATTTTTAAGCGTGTTTTTGTTTCTTTGCTTCGTTGCTTGTCTCGTGGATGAATGAATTAAATTAACCAACCTTTGCAATCTTCAATGGGACTGCATCCAGTCAGCACATCTTCGGAGGGCCTCGCCTCAAAGTGAAACGCCAGGAACGACTTTGCCACCTGAGGGTTCTCCCCCCTGTTGAATTTAGCACAGAGGTAGCGGGCCTCCTCACAGGTCAGGTTCGACATGTCCACCGGGTAAATTATGTCGTTGATGTAGAAGTTTGTGGAGATGGACCCTCGCTTTCTCAGATCCAGGGACTCCTGGCCTTCCGTCAGGACGTTTCCCACGTAGGTACCCGGCAGCTTGACCGACCCATCCTCCATACTGCTTATCCACATGGCCGTCTGCCAGAGGCCCTGACCGGTCACGCTGGTGGTATCATTTGTATTGGCATACAGCACGTCCAGATTTACGGTCAGGTTATTCTCTGCTCTACCTTCTTGAATGGACTGGGATCGAGGTATCACGGGTCTCACCTTATTCACCGTGATATCTTGCCACACAAACAGAAAATGAAAGCAGTCAGTACTTGCAGTGAGCGTTCAGAAGTATATTGAAGAGCACTGCTCTAGGCAACAGTGGAGTAAATTTGTGCCG